TAATAAATCATTTAAAACTAATAATACTTAACAATAATTAATTAATAAACAAAGATTATGTATACTTTAAATTAAGACTTCCCTCAAGGCTCCATCCATTGGTGAAGCCCTGGTGAAACCCACTCAGTTACACTCACACACAAAAACACTCACCGAATGCAGTTGGGGCTTCGTTCAATTCGTCAGTCAGCCAGTTCGTCACTCACTCATTCACACACTCACTCACTCACTCACTCATTCAGTCAGTCAGTCATCGCTGGGTGGATTCAGTTTTGCTATTCAATTCGTTCGGCATTCGTTTTCGATCGTTCGCATCGTGCAGTTGGTTTCGCGCTCGCGACCCTTTCTCGTTTTCTCTCTCTTTTTGGGGGGATTTTGCGTAATTTCCCGCAAAAATACTGCCAATAAATTAAATTATATTATTATTGAAGTGCACAAGATAACAATTGAATTTAAATTTTGGAAATGTAACTGCAGAAGCAGCTACAAATAAAAGGGAATCGATCGATCGATTCACGATCGCCGTCGTGGAGGGTCGCATTTGCATACGAATAGTATTTTTTGATGCTGATTTTTGATCGCTCGCGAGTGTTGTGCGTGTGTGTTTAATAAAAATAAATAAAATAATATCTGCAATCTCAACATGTGTACGTTTTGTTATGTCTAAGTTCCCTCTAGCCTCGATTTTTGAGTTTTTCCCTCAAATTGAAACTTTTGCTTCGTTCTTTATCTTTTCGCTGTTGTGTGTTGTGTGTGTGCATTGTTTGTTTATTTTTAAACATGGGTCCAAGTCGTCCCTACTATTTCTCTTTTCATTTTGCTGGTACTCTTTTTTCGTTTTGGGTTATTTATTTTTCCCCCCTTTTGAATGGCAGCGGAAGTGCCAGTGGCAGTGCTTCTGTATGTACATTCAATATTTTCCCAAGTACCTACCTTTATTTTTACCTGGCTTCAATGATTTACGCGTTATTGTCACTGGCGCATTTATGATTGATTATCGATTGGAATTATATGATACGCATGCGCGAATGCGTGCCTGCCATAAAGAAAAAGTCCCTCAAAAAGTCCTCGGTCCTCCGTTTTTTTTTTCCATCTGAGTTATGATCGCTGGTTTCGATGGATCGTCATGCACTGAACAGAAATTTTTAACTAAAATTGTTAAATTAAAACGAGATGCATGTCCCCTAGATACTTTTATAAAAAGTATTCTAAAATATCTCTGTTTAAAGTTACTATCATGAAGGTTTCTCAGATTTATTTGAAATGAAGTATAGCTTCAGATAAAGACATCAAAAAGGACTAAATAATAAATTAAATATACATCTTAATTGTACTCCCAAGGACCATTATTTTTTCAAGTGCACTTTTCTTGGAATAAAAAAAGGAAAGAATGAGCTAGTTTTGGGTGGGGCAAGAAGGCAAAAAAAAAAGAAAACAGGAACGTCAGAAAGGTGGATACGTGATCTGAGCTCGGGTAATATGTAATTGCAAATTACGATTATTGATCTTTAATTGATTGGGGGAATGTCCCCAAGAGGCGTGTAGAAACTCACTGACAATGGATCATAAATGCATCGTAAATTGTTAAAATATTATATTGAAATCATAAAAGATAAACACTTCTGATGTCTGACTCTTTTGCAGTTTGAATTGGATCAATTACAAACTACAATATTTATTTATGAAAGAAATGGTTTTTGTAATACATTTTATTAAGCATTTATTGGGATATTTTTTGATATATTTTTTCATATATGGAATCTAAGAATTATCGAATAAGAAACAAAACCAAATTCAATGATCACGTATAACCCCTTGTTAAACCCACCTGCAATCGACCGAAATGTCAAAGCTTTGCTTAAACAAGCCTAAGGCATTATAGAAATTTGTATGTTTGCCTCCACAATCAATCGAATTCCACAAGACAGGCCCAATCAAAAAGAGACCACAATTGCCACCAAAAAACACACATAACATTGGTCAGCTGGTCAAATATATGTACTCCCCTTCCTTAAAAATACCTCTCTATCTAACATAAACCTAGAGATAAGTCTACTTGGAGGCCCAGCCAAGTGTCACCTAAGTTATATCTCGAACTCTAAAAATAACAACAATTTCGGTTATTCTACTTACTTTCGTATCATATCATATAATAAATATATTTATTTAAAGGATTACAAATGTGAAAGGATTATTTTGAAGATTAGAAAGCAAGGGTTTCCATTTAAATGAGATATAATATATGACCCATACAATTTCTTTAAATACAATGTTTAAGAAATTAATAAATATTCGAGGTATAGTATTAGAACTTTAAATAAAATGTGTTAATTTAAAAAGCCTCAAGAATATGCCTTAAAAACAATAATTTTCTGGAAATATGTATCAAATAATACAACTATATTAAATTTTACCTTCATTCCGTTTTCATCTCTTAGAACTTAACATTGTTTAAAACAAGGAAAGAAGGTTTATTTAGGGAAACCGAAATTTCTATACCCTTGCAGGGCAAATTTATAATAGTTTTGTCAAAAATTCATTAATTTCAAATCGGAAAGCAGTTTTCTGTTAGTTTGTATGAGGTTAATAAATTTGCATACCTTACTTAAAATTTAAAATTTTTGACATTTTTTTTTAAATTTTAACACCTAAAATTTTTTGAAAAAAAAAATTGAAAAAAAATTTGTTCTTTAAAATATAGCTAGATCGATTCGGCTGTTGATACTGATCATGAATATATATAGGGTCAGAAATGACTTCTTCTGACTGAAATTTAATACCCTTGAAGGATGTAAATATATAATCTTAAGCTATAAATTCTTGATATAACCTGGATATAACACTGTAGATATTTGAATTTTTATTTGAAGTATTTATTTTGAAATTACACCAAAGGCTATGCACATTTAACGCCTCAGGCTCTGGGTGACTTTGAGCAATTAAAAAAAAAAGTGGGTTTACCCGCCTCCTTCTATCAGCGTCAAACAACAAATTGTCAATGCACAAAAAATAATAATAAAGAATTACAAAACAAAACTCGGGCAACGCCCCAATGTATTAGGCCCGAGTTGATCGAAATTAATTCACGCAACGGCTAATTTGGCCAGAAAAATGCGCCACTTGGTCTGTCCGTCGATCTATCTGTCTGTCCATTGGACTCTTGGCATAAAGGTGTTTTCTTGTTGTCCCAGAGCGTTGCTGCACTTGTTGTTGATTTATAGTCGGCATTTAATTGCTTTTGAAATTGGATTTACCTGCCAGCTAGCCAGCCTGCCTGCCTTCTTGCTGCCCCACCGAAAGTGGTGCAAAAAGGGGTGGTGGTCGGTGGTGCTGGTTCGCCTTGTGTGGTTTTCATACAATTTTAGTGCTCCAGCTTGCACAAATTAATGGCTACTACAAATTTTCATTCAATTAGACTTTGTCACTTTTAAATTTAATTTAAAAAAATATTTTTTTCACACCTTGCGCGCGCAGAAATATGAGATTGCAACGTGCGGCTCGTTGATAAAACCGCAACAGGGGCCCGGGATGCTGTGTGTAGAGAGAAGTTCTCTTCACAAAAAGCTGTTAACATTGAAATGTCATAATTCAAATTGAATTGTAGTCTTTACCGTTAGACCCGTGTGTGTGTGTAGTGTGTGTGTATCAAGGGTGGAAAAGCCCAGGGGGCGGTGTGGAAAAAGGGGGTCCAGAGAGAGAGACACAGACCCACATTCACATTTGCGGTGCGCTGACAAGTTGTAAACCATTTGGTTATCATTTGTGCTAATTATGAGCTGCAGTTCTCGTCACTCGTTTCAATACAGTGAAGCTTCACTCGGGTTGAATACAGGAAAACAATTTAATGAAGGGACACGAGATAGACATACAATTAAAGTTGTAAAAGAACAGGAGCAATCTCATAATTGTGGGTTTAATTAAATACGAATATTTTGTTAATGGGCTTAAAGGGAAAACAGAAAAGTTGTGTAAAATATTAAGAATTTTTAGACTCACAAAATAGTTTCTCCTTAGATTGGCTTCAATAGTGATATTGACTTTAACAAATTGCTTTAAGAATATTTTAGGAAAGTGAAATTCGTAGCATATTGTTAAATTCTATTAAAATGTACTCCACATATTCGATTGTTTCTCTAACTACATATATTTATTCCCGCAGAATATATATTTTAAGTCATTATTAAAAAGTTACTGTAACTCAAGACCTTCTTACCAAAAGTCTATATGATATTTATCAAACCATTTAACTGACTCTAAGTAAACTTCAAAGTAACAATTTCCTTTCAATCTAACTAAAGGTAAAAAAAGTGGTTCTAGAAAACTCAGTTTTATAAGAATTCGAATCATTTGTCAGGTAAATCATTGTTTCTTTTGAATCGTAAATAGTTTTCACTTCGAAGAATTCGCAAACCTCACCAAAAAAAAGTCCCCCCAACAATAGAGTCTTCACAGATTACGTCAGAAGCGATAGGCGAACATCAACAATAACAACAATATTGAGAAGATAAAAATAATTTTCCAACGAAATCGAATTTTGATTAATCAGTCAACCAACCCATTCAACTAACTGAAATAATAATAATAATAATAATTCTCATTGAGAAAATGTTGCAGGCAATTTGTATGCAAATGGCTGCCGACAATGAAAGTGGGAGGAGTCCGTTCATGACAAGAACCTCCCAACGGCTTCATTCACAAGCCAAAATCATGATGTATTTGTAAGCTCCATCGATAAACAGTACCTCCTCTTTGGCCTGATCTGATCTCAGGCACTTGGCCAAGTCTATGCACTCAAAGAAAAAAGCATATCTTTATACGTATATAGTCCCGAGATTCAAAAGACTTTCCCGAAACGATTTCCCTCAGTGCCGTGGCCATTTAGCATGCGTAGCATTGTGGGCGTTGCTGAAGCCAATCTAAGCTCAATGATTAATGTATGCCATTCCGTTTGTGTTTATTTATTATTTATATGTGCTTTATACTTACTCTTTTTTATGCAGACTATCCGCCCGCTGATAGTTATACCGGTTATCGGGTAACTCCACCCCAAATCAACGGCAGCAGCAACACCAACAACAACATTCACAACATCAACAACAACAACAGCAGCCATCACATCAACAATAACAACATCAACAACATCTGCAGCAGCAGCAGTAGCAGCAACAACAATTTGACAGCAATCAACAGCGGCAACAGAATGGACACCGACGATGTGGAATCAAATACCAGCAGCGCCATGTCCACGTTGGGCTCACTCTTCTCGTTCACATCGCCGGCGGTAAAGAAGCTGCTGGGTTGGAAGCAAGGCGACGAGGAGGAGAAATGGGCGGAGAAGGCCGTCGACAGTCTAGTGAAGAAGCTGAAGAACGGAAGGGAGCTATCGAGGAGCTAGAGCGGGCTCTGTCATGTCCAGGACAACCCTCGAAATGTGTAACCATTCCGCGCTCACTTGACGGACGATTACAGGTGGGTTTATCATATAAGAAGTTCCTATAGTCCTGTAAACTAATTGAAATCCTTCAACTAGGTCTCTCATCGCAAAGGATTACCGCATGTCATCTACTGCCGCGTTTGGCGCTGGCCTGACCTGCAGTCACATCACGAACTGAAACCCCTGGAGCTCTGCCAGTATCCGTTTAGCGCCAAGCAAAAGGAAGTGTGCATTAATCCGTATCACTATAAGCGTGTGGAGAGTCCTGTTCTACCGCCAGTTCTTGTACCACGCCACTCGGAATTCGCACCCGGACACTCGATGCTGCAGTTTCCCCACGTGCCGGAGCCGAGTATGCCGCACAATGTGAGCTACTCGAACAGTGGCTTCAACTCGCACAGCTTAAGCACCAGCAACACATCGGTGGGCAGTCCAAGTTCCGTGAACTCCAATCCCAATTCACCATTCGACAGTTTGGCGGGAACGCCGCCACCTGCCTACAGTCCGTCGGAGGATGGGAACTCGAACAATCCGAATGATGGGGGACAACTGCTAGATGCTCCGATGGGTGACGTGGCCCAGGTTAGCTACGCGGAGCCCGCCTTCTGGGCTTCAATTGCTTACTACGAGCTCAACTGCCGGGTGGGCGAGGTGTTCCACTGCAACAATAACTCGGTGATTGTGGACGGCTTTACGAATCCGTCGAATAACTCAGATCGCTGCTGCCTAGGCCAACTGAGCAATGTGAACAGGAACAGCACCATCGAGAATACACGCCGGCATATAGGTGCGTAAATTGATGATAATAAATAGTTCATTTAAATCATATTTGTTAGGTTTGAGTTCAAGTTTTTAAACTGTATAGAAGGTAAAATTCTTAACAGCTTGGAAAGTACATGCAAATTTTAATTGGTAATTTGTATTTCCTCTTCATTCTTTGCATCATAATGAGCCAAATTTAACTATTCATTTGCTTTTGTGATAAGCAGCCAATGCTCAAGTGTGCAATAACTCTTAAAGATTGTAATTTGAATGGTCTTAAATTAGAATACGATTACTAAATTCAGGTCTTATCTGTAGGAAAATATAGACCTTAAGATAGGCGAGAGTAGGTCACGTTTGGACGAAGAAATTAAAAGAAAGCTCTTACAAATATGTAGTTATTGGGTCCTTCTTTTTTTCAAATACTTTACAAGCTTTTAATTGCTTTCATTTCTTCTTCCCTCAGGCAAAGGCGTCCATCTCTACTATGTCACTGGCGAAGTCTACGCCGAATGCCTCTCCGATTCTGCTATTTTCGTGCAGTCAAGGAACTGCAACTACCATCACGGATTCCACCCGAGCACCGTATGCAAAATCCCGCCGGGCTGCTCACTCAAGATCTTCAATAACCAGGAATTTGCTCAGCTGCTGTCACAGTCGGTGAACAGTGGATTCGAGGCTGTTTACGAGCTAACCAAGATGTGCACGATCCGAATGTCGTTCGTGAAGGGATGGGGAGCGGAATATCATCGCCAGGATGTGACATCGACGCCCTGCTGGATCGAGATCCATCTACATGGGCCGCTCCAGTGGCTTGACAAAGTGCTCACGCAAATGGGCTCACCGCATAATGCAATTAGTTCGGTATCCTAAGCTTAAGATAAGGAGAGATCCCCCCAAAAACAGAAGCAAAAACAAAAGAATACAAAAACCAGTAGCTAAATGAGTATATGTTGAGTGAGGATGAAAGCCAAGTGTGTAAAAGACGTAGAAAACACAGGACAAATGAGCAAGGAAGCAAAGCCTAGATTTAGTTACGATGATGAAGAGTTCTGCAGATTTAAATAGATGTACGCAAGCAAGCTGCTACTCAAAAAGCCACCACCCGCCCTTTGCCCATATTTTATAGTTTAAATATCGTATGATTTTCTATGCGAATGTCATTCCTAACGCTAAAATAAAGTTATGAGAAATACAACAACAGCAAGCTAAGAAACCAACTACAAAATGGTATAACTATTTACAAATGATCTACATGCTATTATAATAATAATGATCTATATGCCCATTGGCAAAATGTTGTTGTTCCAAGAAGTCTATTTCAAGTGCTAATTATGTGTCATGGCAAAACTGCTTTAAATATACTACAAAAAACACTAAACGAAAAGAAATACACATTTAATTAATCCTACCTACTTAAAATACCTAAGCAACCAGAAATTTAAAATGCAATATGTTTCTTAAAATGATTATTATGTTTTTCTCATTTTCTCCCCGTTTGCCTTTGATCAACGAATTCAATGTTCAAAAAGTTGATTTAAATCTATGTTTTAACTAATTTTAAGTTGATAAAAAAATAAAATTACAAAAAAAAAAAAACGAAGAAACAGAAAATGTAAAAGTGGAAAATGTATCGCTTAATTAAATAATTTACCCAAACCATGATCTTTTGTTAATTTAAGTAGGACCAGGAAAAAAGCAAGCTCCTTTTTTATATATAAATATAAATACATGTATAATTTTTTATAAACAGTACACTATAATTTTCTTAGTCTTATAATTTCCCTTTAATTTTTTGTTTAAAGTTAAACATTACGTGTGCCGAAAAATCAATAGTTGATAATCAAAAGAGACCCACAACAGAGGAATAATTTTGAATAAAACGTTTATGACTTATGAGTTTTCTTTATTTTTTTCGATCTTATATATACAAATTTGAATAAAATATATAAACACTACAGAAATGGAAATGTAAATTTAGCTGTATATTAGAGGCTTGGGCATTAAATAATGTAATAATTGTGCCTATTCAATGTTTTACGTGCGCCTTTTGTGCTTTTGTATGATCAACGACATGGGTTAATGACCTTAGAAATATAAAAATACTCAGCCTAACGAAAGAAATAGATGAAACTATAATGTTTGCCTTAAAGTTTACAAAGTTTGAGCCACAGTCCACACAAAATATGCTATATATTGCCTTAAACAACACGCCTTGCATGCCATTTAATGTTTAACGTAATCTTGTAATAATACAAAATATATATAAATTACAAAAATAAATAAAAAACAAAACTTTATAGGGTATGGTATTTCTGAAATTGGTTTTGTCTACTAACATCAGAGCTAAATGGGGCGTATATCGAATATAATATATCGGCAAAATGTTTAAAACAACGTAAGTTGATATATTCCGAAATTTGTAATATCCCATTAAGTTTTGAAATGTATTTATATTTTTTTATTATATTTGTGTCATTAAATATTGTGTTATCTATTTTATTTAGCATATTATTTCCTTAATTTTTAAGTGGTATTACTAATTGATTTATTTTTAAAACTTTTCCAAAGTTTATACACCCTTGGAGTTTACAATTGAATTATTAATCAATTTGGAATTCGATCATAACTAAACTTAATATATTTACATTCTTTGAATTAATAGTTATCGATGTTTTATATGACAGTTTTTTCGACAAATCAAAGTTTCAAAACTTATTACTAAGCCCAAAATGCATAAATTCTTATTCGGAAAGCTTTCTTATGTTAGTTTTTACAATATTAATAAAACTGAATAATCAATTTTTAATTAAAAAAGAAAAATTTTAATTTTTGCCAATTTTTTTTACAGTTTTAATAAGGGAGAAAAATCGGTTAAATTGTTTATTGCCGGAGATAGCTAGATCGATTCGACTAATGATGATGATCAAGAATATATATGCTTATAGGAAATGATTCCTTTACTGTCCCAAACTTCTGTCAAAAATTATAATACCTAGCAAGTGTATAAAAGAAAACCTTTGAATAACTTTTTAATTTTCTAATATAAAAACTAACGCAATGCGTAAATGCGGTTTACGTTAACTGTTATTTAGAATACTATAGTATATTTTTATATTCTGACTTTAAAAGGAATTAAAAATGTTTTAAAGTAATTAATTGATTTTTTTAATATATTTTAGTATTATATTGGTTTCATATATCAATTTTTCACACATATATTGCAACTTTAAATTTGAACTATTTATTATATTTATTATTTACAATCCCTAATAAGGGATTATCCTAATCACGCATTATTGATCAAATTCGTATATATAAATTTACTTATCAAAGAAATCATTTCTATGTTCATTTAATAATTATTTTAAGTTTTTGTTATATAATACACGCTCTCTGGGGCTTTTTTAAATATTTAATATTAAATTATTAACACTATTTCGGGCGAAAAAACTTACAGTCCTATCGATATGCGGAACTGCTCGATAGTATCAGACGAGTTGGCATCTCCATTTATCGGTAGACTTAAATCAAGTTGGCAGCCATCTGTTGTTTTTTCCGCATCAACATGAGCGCTGTGAACGATCCCCTGGAATTATTGACGAATAAGGGCAACCGCACGCCCACTTTCCTTGGCCCGATATGGAATCCGATGGCCTGCACTCTTGCCGGTGTGGGCGTGGCATGTTTCGTCAACTGGGGCTTCCGTAGACCCGTGTTTTCCGGTGAGTTTTCGCTGCGCTCCTTGTGACGTAACATTGTTTTTGTCTAAATTAACTAACAGATAATGGATAATATTAACTAAATAATATGCGATTTGCAGGCATTCAGAAGCACATTGCCTTTGCCGCCATCGGATTCGGTGCCGGAACATATTTCGATCAGAAAAGATCCGAGTACCTGGCCAAACGTGATGCCGTCCTCAGGCACTACATAGAGCTGCACCCCGAAGATTTTCCCGTTACAGGTGAGTAGTACCTCCGTCTGGCCTGTCCTAGGGCTTTTATTTATTGCCCCATTAATATTCCCAGATCGCAAGAAGTACGGCGATGTCCTAGAGAGCTGGGTGCCAGTTCGTTAAATGGCTCATAAACATGTTGTAAAAGCGACCGATGGAAGTAGTTAATAAAGCAGCTTTAATTGTACTAACGCTTGGATTTCGAAACCGGATTCGCGTTGTACGGGGACTTCTTCATCAAAAACACGGTACATCTTTTCATTATTTCATTATTAGCCATACAAAATTTTCAGATTTACGTTGCCCAAATACGAAGAACTACTAAAGAAGTAACAACAAGAAATAGACATTGTCGTAAAGACAGGAGTGCTCTGAGGCAGAAAGAGTGTCATAATATGTTGTTCTGAAAATCAGTTATATCAGAATGCATAGCAAAAAATCGTAGAAGATCACTTTTAAATAAAATAAGTTTAAAATAAGATGCTACAAGTGAAGTAGTATATTTATATATTTGGGGACAGTATTTTAATTTTACAGTTTATTTCCCGCTCAAAAATTTACATTTTTTCTACATAAAGTTTTACACGTTTTGACATGTCTGTAATTAAAGATTTCAGGTTTTAACAAAGAATATATTTTTAGTGGTGGAAACCCCGCTATAAAGTTTGCTATAAATTTTTATAAAAATCAATTTTTAAATCTTCGAAAAAGTTTTCTATAAATTTGTATAAAAATTAATTTTTAAAGTCTTCCAAATTGAATTTATTTTTTACCAATATAACTTTTTATATTTTTGGTGGTTTTAATATTAAAATGTATTGATAATATATAAATTTAAGTAATTTTGTACATTTATTTATTAAAGTTTCCAACCCTGCAATCGTTATCGTTTTGCGATAAATATTTAAGCTTTTTGTGTTTATTTCAGGCGTCGCCATAACTTTTAAAAATCCCGCGAAGGTGAATTACTCATGTTTGCGTCTTCCAATCAGATGTTTACCTCCAACATGGCGAACTTCGACGACGGCAGAGAAAATCCAGAAGCTTATTCGGTAGGATGTGGCTGCGCAAAAAAACACTTTAATTGAAAACTAACATCCCAACACAGAAAGCTGAACTAAACGCGCTAAAAACTACAATAAAACGTGACTAAAAAAACCTAAACAAGTGAATAACTATAAACAAATAAAATAAATAACAAAATAATTTGGAACTAATATTTTTCGCGCATTTTAAAGCTGTGTTTCTTGTGCGTTCGTTCAAGTGTGTGTGCATCGTCGTTTTACCGTTACAATTTACGAAAACCGAAAATAAAGTGAAACTAGTGATAATACAAATATATGCCAATAATAATTAATGGTAAAACATAGCAAGCAATTTAGTGTTCATTAATTGCAAAAGAAAAAAAGAAAAGAAAAAGAATCAACCAAAAAGTTGATTGCTTCGCTTCCTAAGCTCATTCGTTGAGCAGAAAACAAAAACAAAAGCAAAAACATCGAAGACCACAAAAGCCGACGGCTTTTTCCTACTGGGAATATTCTTATCAGCATCAGCAGCAGTAGCAGCAGAAACAGAAGCAACGATTATGGCAAAGGTAAGAAAAGCTTTTAATTTTATTAGAAAATTATTTATTTATGAACAGATGCTCACTCTCTGTTTTCTCTCCTTCTGTTTAACCCAAGACTTTGCTTTGGCAAATGTTTGTCAATTGGGTTTTTATTTTATTGGTTGGGTGTGTTGTGTGTGTTCTGCGGGTGGGTTGATTTTCACTTGTTTGTATAAATTATGCATGTTTCTTTGTGGATTTCGCATTGATTTCCTTTGTAAAGAAGGAATCGATTCCCCAGAAAATTGTATGATGTGTAAAATTGAACGGGAATTATACGGAACGAAACACAAAAATCTTGTGCAGTCGTAAAAATACGGTTATTCGGTAAAAAGGTAAACTGGAAGTTCAAGAAAAGAAGGGGGAAAACAGATTTGGATAGGGCGTAAAAAGGGAATACGTACCAAAAGCAAGGAGAAGATTGCAAACAAACAAAGCTTAATATCGACATGTGCTTTTTTATTTTATATATATTTTGTTTATACAAATTTAAAGCTTGATTAAGTGAGCAAAAGATTAGGTTTGTTTTATGCTTCTGTATTAGGTAATCTTTGGGCTTTAATTTAGAGTTTAAACCCATCATTTTACTTGTAAATGTTGTAAATAGTTTTAGACCAGTCCAAACACAAAAAGTTTGTTAAATAGTATTTTGTGATTACAGTCTATTTCTACTTTTAACCCAAGAGTTCGTCAGAAGCCCAAAACTTTCTAATTTAAAACCTAAATAATCCGTGGTTATTTTATTTCATCTTAATTAATTTAAATTATCATTAAAATACGGATTAGAAATATTTCTCGTGTTCAAACTTGGCTTAAATGGACCTAAAACCCCAAAACTAATTCGCTTTTCCCTTCAAACACCTTTAAATCCTTCCCATCAGGCTAATGAGTGAGTTTCTCAAGTACTTTTCTTCCCTCTCCGTCCGCAAAATAAGGGAAAATCCCGCTTATTGGCCAATCTGCACGCTATTACGATGTACGGCCGTAAAAAGCCAAAAGGAAAGCCAGTCCGCCGCAATCCCAATCAACCGATTGAAGGTCCGGAAAAAGCCGAAAGTAGAAGCCAAGAGTAATTTTTCATTGGCCAAGCGAAAAGTCTCTGTGCAAGAAATGAGCTACATTTTTCGTAAAGTTCCTTGGCTCGCGGCATTTCAATGATATATGTGTGTGTGGTGTATCTTCAGCAAATTTGGTAATACATTTTTTATGGCACACCACGTGTGTGTGTGATTCAAGAGTGGGTGCTTTTCCACGGTTGATTTGCTGGAAAACCCCTTAACAGTCGCGTGTCTGTTCGAAAGTAGAATGTGGGTATCTCTCGTGACAGGTTTGTTTTGCTCTTGATAAATTACCTTGCCACTTGTCGCTCAGCCTGAAATTATTTTCATCTATCTTAAAGTTTGCCACACTCCCTCGCTTTTCCTTGATTTTCCTTTTGCCTATAAAATTTTGTGATTTTCACATCAAATGGCGGCCAAAAATGTCTCCCAAGTCAAGTTCAGATTTACACAGCAGCGTTGGAAAATGTTTTTAGAATTGAAATTCTTGGAGGGACACTCGGGTTTCTAGAGAGAATATTATTATTATTATTATTATTATGTACTGAGTCGCTGAGGGTCCTGGCTAACTCAGGAAACTGAGACTCCCCAGTGTGCCGTAGTTTGTCCTTTGTCCTTGAGTGGCCTTCGAAAGCGGAATAAATATGTTTAGAGGGGATGCCAGGAGCAAGTATGATAGAGACAGCGGCTTGTCCTAAAAAAACTGCAAAAAAATTACAGAGAAAAAAAATATAGAATGGTTTTATAAAATATATATATTCAAAAAATATACACCATATTAATACACATAACATTTTAAAATATTAGAAATACAATTTTGTATTAAATGGTCCCTATTTTCCTTTTTATTTTTATTTACTTATCAAATCTTCAATTAAAAATCTTTATTTATTTTAACATCAAATTTAATACTTCAAAATTACTTTCCTTTTTTTTCTGAAACAACAATAACCGTGTAAACATATAGAGATCCTTTTCAACTTCAATGCCTCTGCCACATTTTGTTGCTTTCGTCCTTTTTTTTCTGTCGCAAGTCGCGACATTCTCATAATCATTCGCGTCTTGTCCCGTCCCTCTCCACTTTCGCCCACTTTTCATCCATTTTGTCATCCCGCCACACACAGCCCCCTATATCATTATGTGCAGCCTGTAGTATTATTATATTCCTTTTCATACAATTGTCGACTTTGGGGGAAGAGATGAGGTCGCCTCTTATATACATTTTTTTCATGTCAACAGCAGCAGGCGCAACCGCAGGAGTCTGCCTGACTGCCTGCCTGCAAGTGCAAGGATAACAGGACGAAACTAACAATAAGTAGAAGCCATCGTTCTTGTATACATATAGTGGCCCTACTTAGCCGGCAAGGATCTAGGAAAGTAGCATGAAATATTGAATGAACAAAATAATGAGAGTCCAAGGGTTGATTAAATTGAGGGCGGTATTAAAAATACAATGGGTTTTAGATTTTTTGCAAAGGAAAAGGAAGACGAATTTGTAGTTTGATCATTTTCTGAAGTAAATAATATGATTTTTGGGGATAAGTATAATAAAAAAAAAATGGTTTAATATTTTTATGGATAACTACAATTATTTTTAGTATCTTCTATAATATTTCAAAGAAATTGTAATTTAGCTTGTCATAAAATATCTTTTAAGGTACTTGTACATATATTTATTATTCAAAATTGTTTATTTTCATATCTATTTACTGTTTACTCAAGTTTTTTTTTAATCCCCTAAAACAGTCCCATTTCAGAATATTTTTTGTACCCTTTTGCTGAGTATTATAATTAAAGTCAGAAGCTTGTAATATGTGAAGGAGTCATTTTCGACCCTATAAATCATATATATTCTTGATCAGCATCAAAAGGAGAATCGATCTAGCCATGTCCGGTTAAATTATATTTTTGTCAAAATTTTAAACATTTTATAAGGCGTAAAAATCGTAAAAATTTTCACAAAATTTTAATTTTTTTTAAATTTTAATTTGAGTATCCAGAATTATTAACCTAATAAAACATAACATAAGACAGCGAATTGAAATCAATACCTTTTTGGCTTAGTTATGACATTTTAAAATGTAATTTATATACAAAATGTCATACCAAAATATAGATAAATAGCGACTCAAAGAATGGTATTATTATATTAGTCAGAAGCTAGAAACGCAGTGAAAAAAGCATATATATTCTTGATCAACATAAACAGCCGAGACGATGTAGATATTTGCGGTAGAAAAATAAATTTTTACATCTTTAACAATTTTTTTAAAATTCGGAAAATATCGGATTTTGTTATATTTTAAATTGAGTATGCACATTTTTCAAGCTAACAAAAACTTACATAGGAAAGCTTTCCGAAAACTAATGAATTTTTGGCAAAGTTAGGCGTTATTTAAAGTTTGATTTGTCAAAATATTGATAAATATTATTTCGAAGAATGCGAATATTTTAAACTTTGTTAAGATCGATTTCCGATTTGATCCTATACTTCAATTCCAATTTTCAGGGGAATATAAGCTTCAACTTTCCGAAGTTAGTTTCCTTTCTTGTTAGACTTTACTTGTCCTTAAGGGACTAGAAATAAAAGTCATATAAAGAGTAAATTTTCTCTATTTTACAATATAGTTTATATTGCAATAACTTTCAGTATCGCTTTCACTATGGGGAGTCATCGTTTTGCCATTCGACACTTTTAGTCTGCAGCATCTGTTTCAATATGGAGAGCTTAAACCCTCCTTTGCCCCTTTTTTTCCTGCTGAAGCCCCAAATCCCCCAATGGCTGATCCACTACACGTTTGCCATTTATGATTTATGCTGCAAGCGGTGGTATTTTCTGTATTGACTTAACGCAAAATGCGTTGCATGAAGAGCCCCCAGAAAGGCATCGAGAGATGCATCTGCCTCCCCTTCGATATTCCGCTGTGCAGGAATCTGTATTTGTGCTGCATTTTGGTGCATGATAATTTATTGATATCGTGTTTTCCTTTCCGTTTGCATATTGAAATGCATCTGCATGTATTGGCTGTCATTGTGGATATTAAATAAACAGGAAAACCAGGTCGATATTTATCTATGCTAATTTTGCAATATAATCGGTATTGGTTTGGTTTGCTGTGAAACTTGTTAATTATTAAAGTTTTCATAATTATTTAAAGCAGAAAAAGGCACAAAAATAGCATGAATATAGAAAAAATATGGTTATTTATGCTGAATATACTTAATTGGAAAATTTGCTCATTATAATTAAAGTCATATTTATGTGGAAAATTTTAATTGACATTATAAAAATTAGAAAAATTATTAAACCATATTATAAAAACTGCAAACTAAACGAATTCATAATTACTAGGTTTTAAACTTTATAATAGATTAAGTCCTTAAATATGTTATTTGTTTCACAATTTCAAAGGCAAGTAAATGCGAAGATTTACATCTTGAAAAGCTGTTAATTTTTTAGGCAAATATCTAAAAAAAAATCTGTATAGAATACATATGAGTTAACTTTAGTAAAGTGTGTCTTAAATATGTGATTCCTTGCCTTAAAAATCCTTAACCTTATTTTCTCAAGTCATCATCATTTTCCTTGCATATTTGTGGGCGTCACATGCACCGTGAATTTCCTTCTTCATTTTCCCCTTAGCTTGCCTTTTTTTTGTGTCCACCATTTGGAATTCCAGAGGAAAAACGTGTGGCAGAGAGAAAACGCGGCGGTGTTGTAAGATTCTTAAGCTAATTTCATTAAATATTCATGGCCATGGCACGACAATGCACACAAACTGCACACACATTTAGTCATAGATACATATATGTAGGTACAGACAGGGCTGCAGTTTCTCCCTCTAGAAGGCTATTCATATACACTTTGGAAAAAAATCTTAAAACATCTTAAAATAAAGGGTAACTTTAACTCTGAATACATTAAGTATT